GCTTCACCTGAGTCATCCCAGCCTGCTGAGTTATTCCACGAAGAACCATTTTTAGCTGATCACATCTACATAGATGTGGAGCAGGGTAAAAGTACAGTGGTAGAGCCAGACCCATCTCTGAGAGCACTTCCTGCCACTGAACCAGAGCACTCTGCCTCTGAGACAGTGAAAGAGAAGAAAAAGAAGGTGGGTACAGCTGAAGCTGCCAGCTAACTTTCTCTTGCAATCTCACAGACTTTAGCTCTTCCTTATAAAAAGGTAATCTCTTATGGACCTCAGATTGAGATTCTGTGTTTTGATGTTCATGCCCACACTACCTTGGTGGCCCTCAAGAGAACTAATTATCAATGCAGCTTTGAACCCACATAATTTCTTTACTTCCAATAATAGACTCTTAAAATGCTTGCAGACTTGAGAGGATAAACCAATTTGTATCTGAATATTTGCATCCCTATAAACACCATTACTTATTTACCTATGTAGATTTGCCTGCTGTATGGGTTGCTCCTGTGGCAGCATCTCCAATGGCCAAAGTTTTGGCATTGTCAGTAGGAAACATAGAGATAGCTATAGAGATAATAATATGATGATCATGATGAAGTGTCTTGGAATAAAAGGCAGAAACAGTAATTCATATTGCATTTTATTTAGGTTTTGGAGGTTGAAATTTTCATGCTTAATGTTATGAACCAGGTGATTAGTTTTGATCAGTTCCAGAGTTCAAAAGTGTTTTCTCCATTCTTTGGTAGGGTATGACAAAATCTATCCGACGGTCAACAAAGAGGAGAAAAAGAACAATTGCAGATGAATCCGCTGAAAATGTTATTGACTGGTGGTCAAAATACTACGCTTCTGTGCTCAAAATGCAAAAGGTAAATCACCCAGCATGTCCAAAACCCTCATGGATGAGCAATGTTGTAAATGTAGATTTACTGCTGAATGATTCCATTTTGGTATGACATTCGTAATGAGGATCATCATCTCTTTCTTTTGAAAGGCAAAAGGGATTTTTTCCAGTGAAGGAAAACTTGAAGACAGTAAGTAAATTATTTGCATTTTTCTATTATTTTGTACTACTAATATTTTGCTTCTCTGCTGTTTTACTGACAAGAATTAACATCTGGTAACAGAGTACTGCTGGTATATTTGGCTCTTTTCTCTATAGCTGATCAGATGGTGGGTAACTAAAAGCTTCACAGCCAGTGTTGGGTTAACATGAGTTTCCTGTGATTCAAATCTCATGCAGGAAGATTTGCAAAGTCAAAGTCATAAATGATACAAGGTAGACATTATCTTAGTCTTACCGTGCATTTGTAAAAGGTCAGAAAAAGAATCTCCACTCAATTTTGAATCCAATTCAGGATCAGTGATGCAGCAACAGCTTCTGCTAGCAGACTCATAGTCATGTGTGTTACTTTTATAACTGAAAAGCTTTACCTAGCTCAGGTTCTAGCGAAATTTTTGTACACAATACCCTAAAAGAATTGGCCAGAAATAGGCTCTGTGTATGCATGTATGTATATGTGTCTCCATACATGCATACTCTGTGGCTTAGCAGGTCCTCCCACAATCACACTGAACTCTGGAAAATTTTATTTTTGGACAAAAATAAAGGCTGGGAAAAAAACCCCAAATATTTACTGTTTACACAGAGCTGCTATTCAGAATTAAACTAAGCACCTTCCCATGCCAGACCTTACTGCACTCCACTAGTGACTGAGGCGAATTCTGGTTTAAAGAAGGAGTTGAGGTTGCTCCAGATGGAAGACATGACCTCAATGTCACATGGTATCATTTTGGTAATGGCAGCTGAAGGTACTTCAGTGATCATCAGGGATGCTGAGAGAAGAGTTGGAGATCAGTTTCTGAGTGAAGCTCACTTGTCCACATGGAGGAAATATTTGGATAGAAAATATTCTACAAAGGTGTGATGTTCACTTATGATTAGAAATTTCCTTGACATTGTGACATCCACCCACAGGTTATGCAGGCAGTTGTGGCATATTGGTTTGGACTGATGACTTCAGATCTTGTAAATTCTCTTCTGATAGTTTTTTCTAACATATTTTCACCTGTGATGATAAGAATTATACATACGGGATAGCACTGATATAATGTATATATCTCTAAGTATTTAGTGCTGTCAAACACACATGAACAACTCAAAAAATGAAAGTGAACTCAAAATCCAGATTTCAGCCAAAGAACTAAACCATCTCAATGCCAATTTTTAGGGCTCACCCCCTCTTTGTTGGGAAGCCCCCTCTCAGTGTTGAGAATCCAGCTTTAGGCCGACCAAATACCTCCCCCTATTTCTCATACTCCTAGGCTTTCACAAGGTGACATACACTCTCTTTTGTGGTACTTTTAAGCAGAAAAGAACTTGGGTCACCCTAATATCTGAAGTAGCAGTCAGCCTAAATATTGGCTTCCAGTTTTAAATAAGCTGTAAATTTTACATAGAAGCTCTTAAGATCTGTTAGTTTGCTTTGGGAAGGAGTCAGAGAGGAAAAAAAAGGTGTTCTAGAAGATGTAGGGAAGGAGTGATACAGGACACCATCAAACTTGGTCCAGCAAGTTCATCTGGTAGCCACAGAGAGGAAAAAATGCCATCTCTCTGTCTGGGAGGAGCATTGGTGAAAGAAAGGACCCCATGCCTGACAGTAGATAAATTATTGGAAAAGGAGAAGGGGGACTCTTTGAAATGTATTTTGCATCCTTATCTGAAGCATTTGGTATGCTTTGCTTATTAAAACCTACATGATGCCATTAAATCTCTGTAGATAAACAGACTTCTGATCACATAGCATTGATCATAGAGGATGAGCCAGACAAAAAGAAGAAGGATAAGACATTGAAAAGGAAACAGAAGGAAACTCCAAACCTAGCAACACTGCAGGTAAGAGAGAAGTAAGACTAAGAGGTAAGGCTGTTATTATTCACTGTCTCCCCAAAATTTGACATCAGCAATTGAGTTTGGCAAATTTATTTCAGGCACTTCACAATGAATAAAACACACTAAATGATAGTGAGGCGATAATGCACTTCAGCACAGGGAACCCAGAGGAAACCATGCATCTCATAGGGTGGATGTGGTCCACTTGGTCTTAGACATTCAATTTATTACTATAGACAAACCCAGAGAGACTTCAGTGAAAATTTAGTGTTGTTGTTTGCATGTTAAATACTGAAGCTGGAAATCCCAAATTTCATGTTGGAAGTATTACAGACTATTAAGAATTACTTAAAAAAGAGTATGGAAAACATTGCTGCAATCGCTCGTGCATTCTCCCTGATGGGAGATAATATTGAGCTCACATTAAATTTGGTTGGGTAGTGATAGAAGGATTTCAAAGAAAACTATATGGGTCATGCAAAATGACTGGAGAGATGGGAGATTTGAAAAGTTTAGAACTCTTTGGATTAGATTGTAGCTGAATAAAGGGGAACTCGAAACTGCTGTTTCC